AGGTGGGTAGTGGGTAAGAGAGAGTGCGGTAGATGCTTTGCAAGTCTGCACGCGCAAATCACCGTTCCTGCTTCATCTTGTTGTGGAGCCTATGGTGGACATCTTCGGCAACGACGGTCGAACTGTCGTGTGACTGATTTGCCACATCGCTGCCCTGTTACATGTGAAGGTATTAGTGTCTACGATGACCCTTTTTCCGAATTGATAGTCTGTTCATTTTGCGGCTGTACTCCGTCGTTTCATCTCCTATACACCACCGTTGGACGTGCTGAATAACTCGCAATTTGGCCACTAGACAGGCCCTGTCTTCCTGACGTTCCTGTCCTCCTAAATCCACCTGTTTCTTCCTCTCATTTGGCCCATTTAACGTCATCTGTGCTCCCTCCCTCCCCGTAGACGAAGTCCGGTCCTACGTGGAGTCTTGCCAATCTCGAAGCGCCAAAGTGTTGCAGTCCAATCTAGCGCGCATGCACCGCCGGGCCTGTCGTCAGTTTGCGGTGCGTTTGCGCGCTGCTTTATCAGAGGCCGGAGCCACCTTGCCCTCGGAGGTTGTCACCACGGCCCCAAAGACCTCCCATGCACCTGCCTGTGTTCCCCGTATCCAGTAAGACTCCTCTTTGTCCGTCTGTCCTGCCTACCGATCTTTTTATCACCGCAAGACCCTAGGCACTGTTCTTTACTCTGCCCGCTTTGAATTTCTTATGGGGTGTTTTAGACTCACGGATGCGGCGCTGGAAGCTCTGCTTCACATCATCGATGCCGTCTCTGTGGCCACTCAGTCTGCCTTTTCCGAGGATTCCCGCAAAGGCCGACCAGTCTTCTCCCCGCAGAAGGCTACGGAGCCCTCAGCATCGCAGGTGACAGGGAAAACTGACGAGGTGGGGCACTGTCTTTCTTTTCCTTCTTTTCATCATCGTCATCATCACCAGCTGCAAGAACAAGATTCTGGGCCTACTTGTCTTTCCCACACTCCCCTGACAAGATCTTAATTACTTACAGTAATGTTACTTAGTTTCTGCAATGTGTTTTCGATTAGAAAGGATTACTTGGGGGGGGGGTTGTAATACTGCTTTTTGTGCACTTATTCTCCTAAAACGGGCCACGCAGAGGATGCGCTGGACCAACACTTTCTCATGCTACCGGCATTTTCTCGTTTAGACTACAAATTTCCTTGCTCAAGTTCGCAGTACTCTGTACGAAATTGTTTTTCTCTCCACTAGTTTCGTTGTAAACCTGCGATATCCCCAGAACCTCCGGTCTTTGATGTTATTCAGTCCGTTCTCGGTATGCAGATTAAGTCGCCACCGGCAAACGCGACTCCGACCAGCCCTGAAACCTTTGCTGCTGCCGCCGAAAAAGAGAGTGATCAAGCCTGTCCTCCTGGTCGACAAAACCCTCCAATTCCGGCACCCCGTAGACGTCCCACCTCCACCCCGATTCACCTAGAACAGCGTATCCAGGATTCCAGTATCTCAGGGAAAGCAGCCGGAGTGGCCAACTTCCTTCCTGAGTTGAAACACCTCTTTGACACCCATGAGGCCAAACTGTCTCCACAGTCACAAGCATTTGCCACCTCCTGAAACCACAACACTCCCTTATTCTACCTTCCTTCTCTTTTGCCCATGCTGACGTTTTAACACTCACACCTGACAACACTGTCGCACCCTGGATTCACACCTTCTCCCTTAGCAATCGTGGCTGTGTTCCCCAGTTTTTCTGGCTACCCGCGTACGTAGGTTTGTGTACCTCCTTCGTCCCCTTCTGGATTGTTTGTCTTTTTTATCCGGCAATTAAGTGCACAATTTTTTCACACATCCATTGTGTTGAGAAATCACCAATTGAGGGTACTGGTGGTTTGACAGTTCAAACATCGCAGACGGCAAGGTCCGCGACGGTCCGGAAATCGCAGTGGTGGATTTGGAAGCAACTTCCATGGCCAGCGCGCTCTAGATTGGCCGTACGGAGACAAGAGCCCCGGGGGGGCGCAGTGGTTAACGAGGCATAAACCGTGTGTTTGCACATACCGCACGCACACGAACCAATCTCCCTACAGCGAGTCTTGAGTCTGTTATTGAAGAGAGTTTCGATAAAGGCCACAGTAGTAAGACTCGATTGCCGTCCGTCTGACACTTGTGAACAGGACCGAATTGTGCCGGTTAGTGGGCAACTTTCCAAGCCACGGCTATGGGCGCATCGTTGTAAGTCAAATAAGCGTTAGCGAAAAAACTGACCGCTGGGTCCGAACCTGAGGCTTGAGACCAGTCGCAGTTACTGAGGTGACCCGAGACCTCCGCCGATATATCACCACGCGTATATACTGCAGTGCTCCTGAAGTGGCAGTTTACTGCCAGACTTCGTCCAACTAGTGAGGAAGCCGTTTGGGCCTCCATTGCACTCCCGCCAGTTCCACATCCGTTGGTGACATCGGCACCAGTCCCAGGGGTCAGGAGACATCGTGGGACTTGGAATGGATCAAGAACCACAGTAGACTACCGGAGTCATCCCGCATGGGTAGTTGCCTTGACGGACAAATCTGCAGCAACCGAGGCAACTCTGTATACACGAAATCCAGGTGTAGAAACATGAGACTGAAAAACTACGGAACAAGCTTCGACGCCCAGCCGTCCTTATCGCCGGTGACGAGAAAGAACATGCAGAATCATTGGCTGGTGTACCAAATTTTGAATGGGCACCCTGCCTGTTATTAAAATACAGATAGACAACCTTTGTTTATCGTTTGTTTGCCACAATGCACAAAGGAAAGTCGCACGGTATGGGATTCTTGGAGTTCTCCTAGATATTATCGGATATGGTTCTTCCATATACCTACCATGGAAGTCAAAGGCACATTTCGGCAAACTTCTCGGTTTCGGAGTGGGGAAGCGCCTAGAAAAAGATAGGCGTGCCACAGAAGTGGTGTTTTATGCCGCTGGAACAATTAAAACAGGCTGAACGCAACCATAATTTCGCAAAATGTTTGCGGTTTCCGCTTCGTATTGCCATGCCGCAGGATAGAACGCAGTATACCATCACTGTGTAGATGGTTAGGTACACAGACATAGCGAATGCTTTAGCATGTAGCCCTGTCACAATAATTCTAAACGAAATGCTTCGCCTTTGGAACTCAGCTTGCCTTAAAAATATTACTCGCGTTCAAACGTTTCTGGCAGCGATTTCGCCCACATGCCCTCGGGGACTGGGGAGTGCTGTGTGCTGCTCTCATTATATGCCGTATTGGTTCCTCGCGTAGTGGGCCTGGTCGATCATGCTTGCGGGACATCTCCGCATCGCCGTTGATACTTGTCGATCCCGTCCATGCTGTTGGTTGCGACAAGTAGTGGCACCGAAGATCCCGCGCCTTAGCTGCCTCACGTTGAATTGATTTGTAAAGCTAGGCGGATCGCAGGAAAATGAATGATCAGCTGACGTTCAGGTTTCTTGCACTTGCCTTCGTGTTTTGATCGTTACCTTGGCCCACAGCCTCAAAAGCGTCAGTGCGGCATGGGTTGTCACCTCCGACTTCGGGTCTAGCCCCCGAAAGGCTTGCTGATGCACGGACATTCGCAGCTGTCTTCTACGCCGCCGCCTCTAGGTCGGTAGACAAGGATTTATCTATTAGTCAGGAATGTAATCTTCTGGCCACATCGCCTGCCGACGGGATGTTTGGCGACTTCTATTCCGGTTAGCGCAATAAATCTTCTCAAGCTCTTGGTAACTACTTCGGTTTGAAATTTTCGACCTCCGAGGGATTTAACTTTTTCGAGTCTCCTGAGTCCTGGACACCCTGACGGCCTCTCGGAATTTACAAGTCGATTATTCATAGCAATATCTCGATTCTCACAGAAATTCAACGGGGGTCTCGTTCGGAAAACCTATCTCCTTCCGACCACACCAGGACTTGTGAGGGATAACCTATCTTCGTCCAGTCGCCTCTCTGCAACAGCACGGAGCAATCCCCAAAACCTACGAAAGGCTGAGTCGTTTACCTCATATCCTCAATCTGGTTGAAAATTCGTGTCATACCTTTAAGAAAACCGTTTGAAACTTGTAAACTCAGTAGTGTTATTCAGAGAAATGCCCTCAAAACACGGTGTAAAATGTACGCCCAAGGCTGGATTTGAACCCGGTCCATCGGTCGGACAGACAACCGACGTTACCACTAGGCCAGTGACTCGCGCCAATGTCGTTAAAAATAATAATACATATTCTAT